TGCCAAATTTCATCCTCCATTCAGACAATTGCATGGTTGAGTAACAAACATAAAAACTTTCGAATTTATCATATTAAATTATGAACTTATAATATAATAATAATATACCTATCGTATCCAAGGTATTCTTTTTACACAACTTACTATTAAATTTATGTAATACTCGTAAGTATGACATATTAATGCCAAGTTACGTTTCAATAGTTTTTTTTTGTACGGCTTATAGGGAATTGGTGCAAGCATTGTACTTTGTGTATCATAAATCAATGTTCATGGCTTCCGTGTGAATGAACGCACCACATTTACATCACTCGACGCTCCTAAAATGCCATTCAAGATTCGAACCTTTATATAAGTGCTACACAAAAGATCGGAAACAACTCTAACTCTATATATCTGGTATTAAAGCTAGTTGATGAAATTGTTTACGGCTAATGATCCCTAACATAATTGCGCCTTAAAACTTAGCTTACGCGATGGTACCGCCATTTACTTTAAGAGAAAGTTTTAAAGTTAAACCACTTGATTACACTTTGCCGTGTGACCCCACGTGTCACCTGATAACCCCCTTTATTAACCACATTACAGAAGGCAGCTCGGTGTCGTTGCCTCGGTGTTTTGAAAGCCAAGTCAAAGGATCAATTTAACTAATTTGTATACAAAGCCATACAGTTTGCAATATTCATTAACAATTCATTGTTGAGATAACTCTACACGCCGTTTGGGGTGAATTTTAAAATTGTTTGTTCGACACGTTTATTTTACGACTCCCGTTCTGTACACGTATATGTAATAATTTAATTGGAGTGTATATTTAGCAGAATACCTAATTTATTTTTGCGTTTAATTTGAATATACCTACTTGGAAAGTGTGATTCAGAGTTTATCAAAATAAATACGGAAAGCAACAATTTTTGTAGGTAAGTGAACTCCATTTATATCAAACACTAGACGAGATAAAGTCAAGAGGTCACAATTTTATAAAATAAAAGAGTCTATGTATTAAACCAAGTAACGAATAGAAATGAACGAATTAATTTAATATGACCCTTGCCTCACAAATTAAATATCAACAAAATCTCACCTCAATACCACCAACCAGTAGACGGGCGTTTACTCATAATAGTAAAACTTTAAGTAAATCCAATTACAGTTTTCATTCAAATTCAAATTCAAACTCATTTATTCAGTCTAAGCTGTTACAAGCTCTTGTGAAAGTCAAACGCTACGCATTCGGTTCGTAAATCTACGGCGGGAGACCTTGTACTGAGAAGAACCGGCAAGAAACTCAGCAAGGGCTATTTTTTTCTCCCTGTTTTGTTTCACACAGTGTCGTCAATTGAAAGATGACATCAAAAATTTAATACATGCGTTGATGTCAACTTCCATCACATTAATATTATTAATTAACAAAAGTTAAGTATAACTAGGTACTATTTTTAAATTTAGAAGTGGCGATTAAACAATTTTCAACCAAATTAGCAAAGTAAAAAGACAGTCTATTATGTTAAGCCCAAGGTGACTTATCATTTATGAAATCTTTTACAGTATAGTAACCTTTCTTAAGGAGACATGTTTTTATACACACTTTAAACTTATTAAAAGGTAAATTAATTATTTCTTTTGGTATTTTATTATAGTAACATATACCTTGACCCACAAATGAACCAAGAACCTTTTGGAGTCTCAATGGTGGCAATTTGAGTTTATTTTTATTTCTGGTATTGAAATTATGTACATCATCGCGCCTCGTATATAAATTTATGTTCTGACGCACAAACAATATACAATTGTAAATGTATTGAGAGGCAACAGTCATTATACCTATTTCTTTAAATTTATCCCTAAGAGAAGTTCGAGATCCCAAGCGGTAAATGGCTCTTATAGCTCGTTTTTGAAGAATAAAAACTGTTTCAATGTCTGCGGCCGTGCCCCATAATAGAATGCCATATGACATAATGCTGTGAAAGTAGCTGAAGTATATTGTCCTAGCAGTGTCGACATCTGTAAGCCGTCTCATTTTATAAATTGCATAAGCAGCAGAACTTAGTTTACCGGCTAGTGTTGTAATGTGAGGGTTCCATTGAAGTTTGTGGTCTAGTGTTACGCCTAAGAAAACGGTTGTATCGACTAAAATTAGTTTTTCACCATTTAGAATTATATCCCCCATTTCAACATGCTTTACATTCGGCAAAGTAAATTTCACACATTTAGTTTTGCTCGCATTCAGTTTAAGATTATTAGAAGAGAACCAGTGAAGTACCTTGGAAAGTGCATTGTTTACATCGTCATAATTTGTTTTACACCTGTCAACGTTAAAAATTAGCGAGGTGTCATCTGCAAACAAAACAATTTCACAAAAATTTTCTACAAAGAAAGGTAAATCATTAATGTAAATTAAAAAAAGAAATGGACCTAAAATTGAACCCTGAGGAACGCCTATTTTCACATGAGATCCGGCTGATTTTGTACCGTTAATATCAACTATTTGTGTCCTTTCTGTTAAATATGATTGCACTAATTTTTGTGCGGAATATTTTATGCCGTAATGATTTAATTTCCGTAACAAAGTTTGATGATTAACGCAATCAAACGCTTTAGATAAATCGCAGAAAACCCCAAGAGCATTCTGCGACTTTTCCCAAGCATTAAATACATATTTTAGCATAGTGGCCCCAGCATCAGTCGTGGAACGGTTTTTAGTGAAACCATACTGCGCTCTGTGTAAAAGTTTATTAACGTTAAAATGAGTCAACAATTGTTCTAACATTATTTTTTCAAAGATTTTACTCAATGCTGGTAATATAGATATTGGCCTATAGTTGCTAGGATCTTTACAATTTCCAGACTTAAATAAAGGTATGATTTTACTGAATTTCATAAGATCAGGGAATACTCCCTGATCTATACATGAATTAAAAATATCAGCTAGGTAAGGGGCTATAGAATGTATAATATTATTTATGACTTTGACAGATATACCCCATAAATCAGATGCATTTTTCATTTTTAATGAATGGAAAACTTTAATTATTTTAAAAGAACTAACGTGCTTGAAATTAAATAATAAACCACATGGAGGTACATATTTTTGTAACAGAGCTGTAGCAGTATCAGACGATGAGTCCAAGTTGGAAGTAGTTTCTAATGGTATATTTATAAAAAAATTATCGAAAATATCTGCGACTTCATGTTTCGATTTTACGAGATTATTATTGATTTTAAGAACCATGCTATTTTCACGAGGCTTACACTTGCCACTTTCGCGCTTAATGATATTCCAAGTGGTCTTTATTTTATTACTAGATTTTTTAATTTTATCCCTAATAAAATTGGACTTTGCAGTATTACATATGCTTTTAAACAATTTGGAATATTTTCTAACATAGTTAATAAACTCAGGATCCTGGTTATATTCTTTGATTCTATAAAGCTCATACAGCCTTGTTCTACTCTTATATATACCACTTGTCGCCCAGTCACAGAACTGCAACTTCTGTGTACATTTAATGGTTTTCATTCTGAACGTATTTTGAAATTCATTATTTATTAAATTAAAAAGATTTTTGTACAAAATATCCGGATCATCATGCGTCCAAGGCATTAAAGGAAGTTTATCGCTAATGTTATTTTTAAAATTATTAACGCGCTCATTTGTTATAGGTCTACACTCTATTATGTTCGGCTCAGTACTGACATTGAAACTATATGTTGTCTTTAAACCGAGATGATCGGAAGTAATATCACTAAAGACTGACCCTTCAATTGCATCCAATTCAGAAAAAAAGTTGTCTAAACTATTCTACGCACTACATTCTACGCTTGATTTCTCTATAGACCTGTTTATAACATCGTTGTTTCAGTATGATATCTGATTTGATTGGACTTTGTCAGGGACTAACTTTAATTATTAAATATTCATAGTATATCGTTAGTACAGTTATTTTAAACTTTTCCAAATTATTTGTGTACTTTAGGACAGTAGTAAAATAGGTGTAAGTGCTGGAAGCAATAACATGAGAACGGCTTGTGCCTTTTTCCCCTATTTAACGCTCTTAATTTAACATCAGGTTATCATGTAATACTAGGGCACAGGCCTTTTCTGGGCATAGAAATTTTATCTACTACAAGGAACCCTATTACGGATTGGTGGATACGGATTACCAAGACCAACGATGTAAAGTGCGTTCCGAAGTACAGAGGAGTTAATTTAAGTTTTTTGGTAACCATCTTATAACCGGCCATTGCCAAAATTTCTTACCATCCATGATTGCAGGTCGAACCGACCGAACGTGCTATCATGGTGCCATCGAGTTTCTAGATCATGCTTCGTCAAGTAGAGATGATTACTTGATCTTCTTAAGAATATACGTGTCACTTAGTGGGTTCCCATGTCTTTGACTGCGTAGAATAATCGAATTTTCACAGAATTCTTTAACTATTTATTAAATATTGTTACATATAAAAGAAAACTATGCTACTGACTATGGTTATTATTTAATATTGTGACTGAAAGAAGGCTTTATTTTCTCCGAGGACTTCTTTATCCCAACCCAAATTTTACCAAAATCGGTTACGCGATTAGATATATTATAGTTTCAGTAATTTAGTGTAAAAGCAGATCGATAAGTTACTTTCACGCTCATGATATTAATGATATTACTATGGATGGCAGAACATCGAAGGTGCAGCTTGAATAACAAAATCGCGAAAAAGATCGCATGGGCGCTAATAGCTGTTACACAGTTCTAATATCTATTTACGAACCTAAATTATACATGTTACTTTAATTAGTTCCAATAAATATATTTTCATATTGATCGGAAACAAAAGTAATAAGTTGCCAGCCTAGCGCCCTCAAGTTTCCGGAATACGCCCGTTTATATGTTTAATAATCAAAACTAAAAAGTTAGCAACCAGCGCGTTCTACTTCTTTCGCTTCCACCATTGGAGATTACAATAAAAAAGAGCTCTTATTGATATCATATCACTTGTTCCAGTGCCGCCAGACATCCTAGACTACCCCACTTCCAGCGACCAAGTGGCGCGCGAGGGAGCGAATGTCACGTTACGGTGCGCTGCCCACGGAGTACCCACGCCCAACGTGGTATGGAGGAAGGAGGCCGGTGATCTGTTGCCTACATCCAACTTCAGCGACACACATAGTGAGTTTACTGAGACCTGTAACTTTCTAGACTACTCCTGCCGCCCACGGAGTGCCCACGCTCAACGTGTCAACAATCTCGAACCTTTGAATCGAACCTCACCTTTCGCCGAATCCAGACGAATGCACTGACCGATATGCTACCTATCTTAATGGCTGTGTTGAATTTTGCAAGTATAACTTTTGCAGCAATGCCACTTCTTCAAATTGCAGGCAACTAAAATCTTGCAATAGAAAGCCTATCTAGCCTACACAAGTTTTTGAAAACGTTCATATGTTATTTATTAGTATATAGTGACTCCATAGAACGATATTTATTTAATAAATGTACGTCATTTCTCAGACTGTCAAACAGTCTATTGCCTAATAATTTTCTTTAAATTTATAGATCATCATTTTTTAGATACATCGGTTAGCGGTGCGGTGTTGCATCTAGTTAAAGTATCAAGACTACACATGGGCGCTTATCTGTGCATCGCCAGCAATGGAGTGCCACCTTCCGTTAGCAAGCGCGTCATGCTTGTGGTACATTGTAAGTATGACATTATTTAAATAAAATCAGTTTAGTATATATCAATACCATTGCCACTGTTAAGGTAGGGGCGTATTTTACTACGTTTTTTTTAACATATGACTTGGAAACACACCTTGTCGTATGCAACGTTCGATATGACAAGTGTTATATTTTCATACAAATTTTGTAGTTTATTATGTAATAATGCGTAGCATACGTTGCGTTTGTGGGCTCAGATTGTCCCTATCTTTACAGTCTTAGTTCACAGTGCATGCCATACACATTTTTTTTTAATATAATTAACTTAATATTTTCGAAATGTTTTGAGAATTTTTGACTCTTCTGAATGTGATTCTATGATGTTCATCGATAAATCATACCATGAATCTCTCGAAGTGGCACTCCTCTCATACTGAATTACAAAAACTATCAGTGTTTTCCTAAATGAAAGAACCAAACCTTTTTATCCTTTGTTCTCATCCAGCATCTTATTGGTTTACTGGATACCTACGTCAATGACAACATTAGTCAGCGCCATTCAGGGAAGTTTAAATGAATAAGTAATGTTCACTCACCAAATGTTTCCGCGACAAGGATTGAATCCTCAATCACGTCTTAAGAGATTTACCATCTGCGCAATCGAATTTTTCCCTGTGCACAAAAAGAATTTATTACCAAACGTCAGATTCATATTATGTCAAATTTTGGCTTAGCTTGGGTTATTAATGTATCCTTGTTACTGTAGTCGAAAGAGGACTATATCAGGCAACAATTCAAAATCACATACCTGACACATACCAGAAATTTTAAAGGGTGAAAGAATTTTTAAATACATTTTATTCGCCTAAATTTTACCTTCAATTGAATACTACGTACAAAGCGAATTGGCAACAATCCAGGCACCCAAGTACTAGTGGACGATTACGCTACCCAAGCTGCCTGACCACTTTACGGTGTCTAATAGTACACTTCAAGTAAACAACTGTTTAGATTAAGATAGAACTTAGAGCAGTACACCAAAAAGGCATTTTAGCGCCTTACATAACTGAATATTGTACGGTTAAAGATAACAAAACTAATTATTTTCATTAACCATTATTGTGATTTATGCCAAGTCGGTACAGAACTTCGTAGCTACACATAATATAAGCGATTCTAATATACATCAAAAAGACCAAAAATTAACAATATTACGTTGTTGAGATATTGAATCAACTTAAAGCTAAATATAGAGTGCATATAATTTATAGCCAATTATATTTTGCTAAAGCTTCAGTGCAAAGTTTTTGAAACTTCGAACTTCTGTAGTAAAAATCTATTCTTAGCATAGGTATACGGAATTCTCTGGTGGTCTCTCCTTGTGTTTCAGTGCTAGCTTATATTCATTAATGGTTTTTCAAATCCAATATAAACACATAAGCGGGGAAAAGTATAATGTTACTGGGTCTAGAACGAAAAAAATACATAGTTAAAAGTTATTTCTGTCTTCGGTGACTCAGGGTCACCTAAAACATAGTTTTATTTCGATAATATTTTTCCTGTATCCTAATTTGCTATCTATCCTATTTTTTACATTTCAGAAGTCCAGAGGTGATGAGGAGAAGGTCAGGCTCACCTAAAAATCGAATAAAAAAACTTATGCTTTTTTGTTGCATGTTAAGATATCATAAACTTTCCAGCACCCCAGATTCGCATGACAATAGCTAACTCATATTTTTTATAAAAGAAATTAATAAACACTCGGAACGTTTTTTTAAAAAAAACTTTATTTTAAACAACCTTTAGTTATTGTCTTAACATCTCTCTCTTTCTCTCTCTTTATTCTTTGAGTTACGAGAGTATTTAAACAACATTTAATAATGCGATGCAAAATGGTTGCAAACTATCAAAAATTGACTCGCTAAGGGTTCACAGATCTACGAGAACTGGTGAAACAGCTCAACTATATTTTTTGTTTATAACTTGTAAAGGAAATTACGATGCTTATTTTAATAAGTACATAATCAATCATAATCAAAATCTTAATAGTGTAAGAAATAAATAGGGTTTGTTCGTTTTTAGAACTGTGTACGTGTGCAGATGTGTCGGCAAGCAATTCAAATGTAGAAAATTGCCCCTGCTTGCCTACACATATCACAATTAACGAGGCGATTAAGGGTCATCCCCAACCTTGCACACTAGATTGCTCCTGCGACAGGAATATGAGTAGCCGGTCTTAGTTAATTTCTACGATTAAACTAAAGGTGTTTACTATGCCTGAAAATAGTTCCAATTTAAATACGGTAGTGTTACGACATTTTTCACTTAAGCAGTTCCCTTACATACTGAACACTGGCCATTGGCTGTGAGCTGGCAATACTCCAAATGCTCAAGAAGCAGTAGTGTGCGGTATATTCAGATTTCACTATCGCAATTCGGATATCTTTTTTAAATAAGAAAAGAGAAATTATGGTGGTTGCAATTAATGAAAAACCAAGAATTATAATTCAATTTGAACACTACCTGATAGCAAAAATATAAATCATACTAGCTGTCCCCGCGAACTTCGTACCGCCATATAAAAATAGGGGTTGGTGGTAGAAGGGTAAAAATTTAGGATTGTATGTATTTTTGAATGACGTATCATAAAAAAAAAAACAAATATGTTTGTCCAAAAAAAATTAAGGGTAACCCTTAACATTAAGGAGGATGAAAAATAGATGTTGTCCGATTCTCAGACCTACTAAATATGCATATTTTAACGAAAATCGGTCGAGCCGTTTCGGAGTAGTTCAATTACGCACACCGTGCCACGAAAATTTTATATCTTAGGTATTTTGCATAGTTTACAAAAAGGCAGTGGATTAAATTTTTTTTAAGACTCTTGTATTATACCACCTACTTACTGATAACGTAGGTAGGATATCATGTAAACCAAATTGTGAACTGATTTTATCTATTACTATACTACTGGGTAAATATATTAAAAGGGTGGCAAACAAGCATATTGCGCCCACATGATGGTAAGCAGCCACCACAGCCTGTAGACGTTTGTAATATCAAATATATCACTCGCACCGTTTCTTACCCTGAGCCAGTCCCGTGGATCACTTTTTTTTTACGCAGGTAAAACCTCTATTTACAGAAGTCGGCGCCTATAAAAGGCACACCGACGAACGGACCTCACACCCAGCACTCGCAAACGTCACGGGCACGATGGGGCTAACCCCCAATGTAACCCGCGCCATTTACGAGCACGCTTAACGGCGTACTATCCGCTAAAAACACCTGCGAATACCCTCTAAGCTGCTTAGTGCGAAGGCGCGGGATCCCCGTTTAGGGATTCTTCCGCGTTTCCGCACCCAGCAGCCTCTTGGCCTAACCGGGGCTCCGCGGCAGGAGTCTCGTGGAGCCCTGGAACCTTACCGACAAAAAAAGAACACCACCAAAAGGCAGTCTTATTTCACTGTGATCCTCGGTAAGGTCAAGGTAACTTACCCAGACGGGCGGTCCAATTCGAGCGGCAAAACCGCTTTGCCCTACGAAAGGTAGAGCTCAATGTTTACTGATACCCACATAAATAATTCAATATTATTATTTGTGAGTTTTGGTTCGTTAATGTTTAACATCAAAGCGTTTCGGGTCAGCAAGGATGCTTGAAATCAGTTGTTCAAATGCAGCACGTACACTGTGCGGACAAACTAACATTAACTCAACCGTAGCGCAGCTGCTATTTTGAGAACTAAGCTCAAGTGGTATCGTACACGTACAGATTAGTGCCGGTCCCTAATGTTTATCCAGCATTACTTACTGGTATTACACTGTAAAACAAAGAGCTAGAAGAAAAATATTTACACAACGGCTAAGCCGATCAGAGTCTTTTTCGCGGTAAAAATGTTGTAACCAAAGCCGCCAATATTCATGATAGTGATTTATTAGTATTAGTCTAAACACTAGTCACGTCAAGTCACTCTATTCCACCCAAAACAGACAGCTTACTGATAACGAGTCTATGCGCTTTTCGTCGAATATATAAATCGAGTCACAAAAATGTACAGAAGAACCAATATGATGAAGCGAGATGTTAGCAATACAGTTTTATAAGCCTAATAACCTGAACTATCATTTGAATTCAAATTTTATTCTAACAAACATTTCTTTGGCTAAGATATTTTTACCACTACGGTAAATCCATTCATAACGGGTTAGTAACGAATACATTAACATTGCGGACGCGAATGTTACCACTAGTGGAGGGTTGCGGTTCTCTTTATTGCTCCGCCGTCCCTAACGTTTTAATACTACTTTAGAAAACATAGGTAATTTGTTCATTTACCGAAGTCGTATTTTAGCTCAGCAGAAAACGTTACTATGAAAATAAATACATTCACAACATTATAACCCGACCGCCAATTCTGTAAAGCATTCAAAAATGTGCTATGCATAAAGGTCCCTTATGTAATTTTCTATTATATCTATTGACATTCTACGTGTAAACATTATTATTTTAATATAAAAGATTTGAGTGCGTTTGACCGCACTCGCACATGATGTTAAACAACCACGCGATACAAATAATGCCTATTAACTCTTGCTTTACAGCCCACCTTACCTGCACCTTACAGTTGACTGAAACCAAATATAATTACTTTTTAGTTTTGTTTTCCTGCAATTAGTTAGTTTCCAAGGCTCTACGGGGTATATGATGGAGTCAGGATAGGCAATACGCCACTGATACTTTAGTACCGTAAGCGTCTATACTTTGGACAATCAATACACGTGTAAAGTACAAGACATTCAATCTAATTTCTATTAAACTTTTCGAACATTCTCCTCAAACTGTAAATAAAAAGCAAGAACATCCCAAAATTTTCTGAATTGGTAAGGCGCCTTCCTCTACAAAAAAGGGGAATGAGCTGAAAATAACTGGGCGGAACGAAATACTTTTTGCCTTATACTAAGAAAACTCGATTTAGCTTTATTTTTTTCATCAAAAGCTCTGGTATTAATTTCATCGTCACGAATAAAACAACATTTTTAATGCGTTCGCTTCATCGCTACTATACTATATGATATTACAAATATAATAAAGCTGAAGAGTCCGTGTATTTGTTCGTTTGAACGCGCTAATCTCAGGGAGTACTGGTCGTATTTTGAAAAATCTTTTTGAGATATCTTTTAGTGCATATATCTTGCGTGCGCTGCGTAAACGATAAAAGTTACACAAAACTATATATGACAGAATTGTTAACCTTTAAAATATATATATATATATACTAGCTGTCCCAGCGAACTTCGTACCACCATAAAAAATAGGGGTTGGTGGTAGAAGGGTGAAAATTTAGGGTTGTATGTATTTTTGTATGACGTATCATAAAAAAATAAAAAACAAAAAAAAATGTCCAAAAAAAATTTAAGGAGTGGACCACCCTTAACATTTAAAGGGATGAAAAATAGATGTTGTCTTATTCTCAGACCTACTGAATAGTCATATAAAATTTTACCAAAATTGGTCGAGCCGTTTTGGCGTAGTTCATTTACGCACACCGTGACACGATAATTTTATATATTAGATATAAAAAGTCCGCGACAGTATAATATGTCTATCTTTTATGGGTGACCCACTATAACCTTAAAACTCGAATTAATGCGGGTAAAACCGCAAGTAGTAAAACTAACTTATTTTTTACAGTTCCACCAATAATGACAATACAAAATCAGCTGGTGGGAGCAAAGGAGGGAGACACAGTATTCTTAGACTGCCACTCGGAGGCGTTTCCTAGATCTATCAACTATTGGACAATAAACGACCAAATAATATCACAATGTAAGTACACGACATCGAATGTGTCTAGAGTTTAAGTACATTATGAACAATTACGTATGTAATTGACGCTACTGTTAACTTGGGTTAATTTACCAAAATTGAGAAATAAAATGCATTTTTATTTTATTTTAAAAAATTAAGGGGTACGTTGTTAATTTGTATAATTATGAAAATCAAATTATCACGTCCGACGGCATTGCCACATGGAGGGAAAGTATAATTAATATTGAAGACAGGCTATTTTATTTAATGAAAGAAGACATCATTTTATTTTTAATAATAAGTTCAACTGCGTTCATAGATTTTTTGAACATCGCCTGCCACAACCGGGAATCAAACTTATGAAATGTGGAAAAAAAACACATCACGTATTTTATGATAACCGTCGGAAGTGTTAATCATAAGAATTATTTTGTCCTAAATAACATAGCATTTTAAATGAGAAAAAGATCATGAAATTAAAATTTTGTTCAGGAGAATTTCCTCTGACTTTTCCTTGCTTCCAACAGCTAACGTACGTAGTAGCTGCTCACTTAATAATACAAGATTTCCTTATTATAAGTACGTGAAAAAAAAACAATACTTATACAAACTATAATAGGTACTTGTATGGATTTCATTGTGAGGTCACAATTACAATGCGTCTGGCTATTTTGTGGGGTTATGTAAAAGATTTAGTTTACAAGAACCGGCACGACAGTGTGCAGGAGTTACAAAATGAACTAGGACGTGTTATTTCAAACATTAACCATGCAAAGTTAAGTTTATCGACAGGTAAAGATATTATATAAGATATGATATTTTAAGTATCCTTTCGGTGTCGGTATCCATGTATTTTTTTTTCGCATTACACGAGTTTGATTGCCGGTTGTGGCAGGCGATTTAAAAAAATCTGTGAATGCAATTCTACATATTATTACAAATAAAATGATTTCTTCTTTCAGTAAAATGTCCTTTTTCAGTATTTAACATACTTTCCCTCCGTGTGGCATGCCCGTGGGACGCCCTGATGCCCTAATAAAATATATATAAAATCCAATCTGTAAGATTAGATTTGGTAAATATTGATTGCCTATTTTTAAGGCCAAAGCTTACATAAACCCTACACACTTGTACCTTTATTTAAAATTAATACTCTTAGGCTTCGTTACGCTCAAGATTCGTTGTTGAAATAATACAACTAGTTAATAAACTATGTTTTGAGAACGAATCGTTAAATTCAAACAATGTTAGGTAGATAGGTACTAATTGATAAGACAATGCTTGATATGAATAAGTTGTCTTGATAGCCAATTTTGAACATGAAATTTGTTATTTTTAAAAACAAATTAAATGAGGCCAAATGATAAAGTCATGAGTAGGCACAATTTTATAAGTAGATTGTTCACATTTCAATATCAAACAAACATTGTATTAAAGAGAGAAGAAGATTTGAGACCTTTATTGTCGACTTAAGAATAACTCACTCTAGACCGTACCGGGTCCGACACGAGCTTCGGCCTTAAGCAAATCACTCGGTTACCGCTCGGTATAGCGTGATTCTGCCCATATAAAATGTATGTAATATTAGTTGTCCGTGCGACGGTCTAAGCCCGGCCCGGATCCAAAATGGTGTAGTGAGTCAGAGAAACACAAACTACTTATGCTATCACTGTTAACTTGTCAGAGCAAATAACAAAACTCTAAATGGACAGAGTGGTTTTTGAGGTTAGGATAGTTTATGTTACTAGTATTTGCTGACAATAACTAAACCAATGATAAACGTGGTATAACATATATGTAGGAAAAGGATATTGAAATGTAGCTAATGTATTGACATTAGTACACTTAAATATGCTTTTGTCAAAATGAATGCTCTTTCTTATAATTCCTACTTTAGTTATCACAACAGAATATAGATCTTTTATGGAAATCTCAATCGCAAATAGGAAATACGAAAGTTTATGAAAGGACAATGGGCAAAAATGTATGGACACTGCACCCACGTCCGCCACGGCTTAAACTACATTTGTTTGAAAGGTATTATAGTCATGATCATCTGTGCCAAAGCGCATCAAATTCCATCCCGGGGGTCTTTAGTTATTTTAAGCTAAATATGTACAAGTACTATAACGAACGAACATAAATGAAACAAGGGAATTAATTTACTTTGTTAGTTCGATCCTACATAGAGGGCTTAGGTATTATGGGAGTACTTCACAAGGTGCAAGGGTGCCCCCTTACATTATTCTGCCGCGCTAGAGTAAATCCAAAAATCCCCGCATGGGTTGGGGTTTTTCAAACAGTCTGTTCTTTATAGTAAATTGTCTTCTATGTAAAACGGAGCGACCACAAATCACACAAACTTGCCCACGTTTCGGAAAAAACATGATTCCAGTTCATCCATACTAATTGACAAAACTGATAATCGTGTTCTAATGTCCAAGGCGTGTTAGATAAAAATCAATCAAGTGACAGGGAGCGCACAATCACACGAAGTAAGACGAGTCGACTATTTGCAACTGCAAGACCTTTAACCTCCGTAAACCGTTTTGAGGTGTCTCAGTAAGTGCAAGCGCAAGATTGTCGGCAGGCTCTGTCGTATATCTGGTAGTATAGCACGACATGGCATAATATTATGGTTACTAATAATGTCTATGCCCATGTATCATACCTTTTGACTAACAAGATATTTTTTTACGGTATCATATCTTTTGACTCCCAGGATATTTTTTTACAGTGTCATAATAAAAAAGGCTCGTTTTTCATAGATCTATCGATTCATACTAATTACATTGTTGGCGGAGCAGGGTATGTTTTGCCCATTGTCCTTTAAGTCACTATTTTTCAAAGTGTATGGTCCGTGCCTTCTCTCTGCCTAGGGGTCCTATGACTTCGGAGTATTTTTGTGTGTGTTATTCAAAAATCACCTACCTACATGTCGTAGAATGATTTGATAAATCTAGTTTTCGCGAAAAATAATTAGACAATGGCGATGACATTTCTCAATCTTACTAAAAAAGATAGAATTTTTGCGAAAACACGAGGCGCCTCAGTAACATTACGAAAGGAATTATTGGCTTTTTATATTGTTGGGTTCTTGGGTTCACACTAGGTTAGGTTTTATATCCACACCCCAGGGTTTTGTGCCTATCCACTAAGGGTAGGCCAGCATGGAGAGTCCCACAAAAACCTGTTACCCAGTAGCACGGTATGCGCAAAGCATTTCCCTGGGTAAAACAAAAGGTTAGTGTTGTGGCCAGAACAAAATTTCGCTAACAGTAAGATTGAGAAATGACATCGCAATTGTTTAATTATACGCGTTTTTTTTTAGTCTTCGTTTCGTTTTTGATTTATGAGATCATCCTACGCCATACACATTATGTAACAACATAAATTTAATCGTTTACAATTGTTAAATTTAGTCAGCATTTAAACTTTCTTTTTATATTACAGCGGACAAAAGGTTCGAAATAGCGTCAGTGGAGAGAGGATATGAAGTGGACATGAGGTTGAAAATCAAGAAAGTGGGAAGGTCAACTTTTGGAACATACAGTTGCATATCAAAGAACTCCTTAGGAGACACAGATGGAACAATTAAACTGTACTGTGAGTACTTTTTGATATCATCACGGCTGGGGCGCAAGCCTTCCCTGTAGACATAATAGAGAGACCATCCCAATGGTGACCAATCCCACCTGCAGATGCAGCCAAGACAAACGGCTGAGAGGAGTTTCCGAAGCATGCAAGAGCTCCTTTTATTAAATGTTGGTCATCCAACCTATGACTATTAGGTTTTCGAATGTCTCGCGCTCTTTTTGCATTGGTAATAACAATATTAGAGAAAATGAGTGCGAGGTATTTGAAAACTTTCGGCAGGCAGAAATAACAAAATGAAATCATTTATAAGCTATAGCAATAGCCAAAGCAACCCCGATAGGCGGTGGTAGAATATGACTTGTCTTTTGTGATCTATGGCGATAGTAAATAGTAAAATAATCGAAAAAATAGAATTGTGTTTTGTGCTTTAAAGTTCTATTATAGAGAACCTTATATGATCCTAGTCTGGAATCTGGTATCCTAGTCTAGCATCATTTTCCTCATCCGACATCTTTTCCTGAAACCATCCTTTAAAAAAAAAGTTTTTATTTAATATGGCAATAAAACACCTATACAATGTCAATGCAAAAAAATCACAGCGGTCATCACGTGCGATCATGGAGACCGTTGGTGAAATATTTATAGTCTGGTCAAATTAGACAGAAAAATAAGAGTTCCCATTAAGCTGAGAGTGAATAAAATTGTTCAAAACATCATTTAAAATAACATATCGAAATTCCCCGCCGTTCCGGTACATGAAAAATAATGGTAAAAATGGGGTTTTCGCTATTTTTATCAAAACGGTAAGTATTTGTTTCTTAGGTTTTCACGCACACCACTTATTAAATATTCTCAGAATTCTGTCCACGCAGCCTAAAAAGGATGTGAAACGTCAAGAAACAAATAAATCAGCGCATACCGTTGAAAATTGTTTTATTTAAAATGGCAAGTTTCATATTAAAATTATCTATTATTATTCTTTTTCCTAAGAGCCACCGTTCCTGAGATATAACGATGTCATAATATGCATAAGTACGTCACGTATATACATCTCTGTAGCTGTAATATTAGTTAACATATTTTTCTATCGGTGATTGTAACTTACATTATAAATATACATAGGTATAACTATGAGAATAATGTGCTGAAGCTTTTAAAAAAAGTAATTCAACTCCACACATGTTTCGTTAAAAACACTCACACACACTCAACACCTCAAATTTTTTTCCATGTACCGGAACGATAGGGATATGTTATTTTTAATTATGTTTTGAAGAATTGTACTCACTTTCAGCTTGGTAAGTAATAGGCGCAAAAAATAAAAAAATAAATTGAAATGGCCACCTTTGGCTTTTGTTCTGGCCTTTTATCTGTTTGGCCACGAATCTATGAATTTTGGTTTGGAATCGAAACGCACTGTTTCCAAGGGAAATTTCGCCACTGCTTGCTCCCGAAATATTTAAGAGGCTCAATGTTGTCGTTTCGCTTAGAACAGGCCATATCCTCTAAAACTTACACTAATTTGAAGTCTAAAGGGCTAGATGAGAACCAGTCTTCAGCTCTTATAAAATCCTGAACGTTCGTCTCAAGCCAACGTTGGGTAGTTCGGGCCTTGTGACCAGGTGCAGAATTCTGCTGGAAAGTCCACGGTATATTTTTGAAAAGTGTATTACTGAGCTGAGAGGTTTCACAACATGATCCAAAACTGTATCTTGATACACTTTGGCTGAAGTTTTTCACAAAAATGTACATTTGTGACTCATAAGACACGACCCACAAAACCATCACTGACGTAGGATGATGACCACGTTGTACCTTTCCGGCCACTTGAGCAGCTTCTTTAGAACTATAAGCGTACACTTTATCATTTTTCTTATTGTAGTGTTGTTTTCATTGGTAAAGAGGATATTTCTGTGTTCATCTGCGTATCGCGATAGAAGGCGTTTTGATCGATCCTCTATCTTTAATTGTAAAGATTGATGTAGGGCATATCCTTTATATCGACGATAAGTACCGAGGTTTAGGGTTTGTTTCATAATTCGCGGCAGAGTCCTAGCATTTCATCTGCATCTTCATTTCTCGCGATAAGGTCTTTTGCTTCCTAATGGGGTTACGACGAATTCTGACTTTAACAACATTAACAGCCTTTGTAGTTCTAACAGCACGCGGATAGACAAAATATTGTTGTATCTGTTGATAGTACTTTAAACGAACATAGGGTTGATACAAGCTTTTGAAGTGTCTGGAATATGACCGACGCTCCATACCCACTTTGTGCAAGGCTATCACCGCAATTCTTTTTCTTTAACACCCCATTCCATACTGTTATTTGATAATGAACACGAAAAAATATGTGACATGGCTCTAAATTGAAAGAAGTTTTATAAAATAATATTCGTGTTCCAAATAATTAAAAAGTTGAAAAAAAGAAACGTGCCATATTAGTAAAGAAACGACACAGAGCTGCGAATTCGTTTTTTTATAGAACACTCGAAATAATAGAATTCGAGTCAGTTGGACAGCTTCATTAAATATTTCCACCGAATCCGATACAGAACCCATTAGTTGATGTAACACTTGCACATTAATCGAAAACAAGTCGTGTAATAGGGACCTAAACTAGTAACCTGATATTTTTCGCTCGCGAACCCTTACAATGGCTAAAAGCCCTTAGAAAATGGAATCGGTAGACTTCATTCCTCCATAATACTAGACCTCGGGAAATGTTGTTCATCAATCTCAGCTAACTTTGCGAAAGCCCTTTTCTATTTTCCCACTCTAAAGAACTATTCTACAGCTACACAGATGTGTGCTCTCACGGCAATTAATCAAACCTTTCCGTCATATGCGCATCTTGGGAGCACACTTTTAATAATTAATGATTTAATGCAAGCCGTCACACTCGGGCGATTGTGGTTGTGAATACATTTGTCTCCAAGACAATTCTGAACAGATTAACAATATTTAATGAACATATCAGTCTTCGCCATCGTAACGAATGTGTTTCTGTAACGTATTAAAAAGTAAATAGAATATTGTAAATCTAGGCTTTAATAAATAACCTAATTATGTTGTAAAGTTACAAATAATCCCACAATTCGTATTTAAAATTCTAAAATACAGACGTTAGAAGCACAAAATGAGAAAAAGGCACCAGTAAAATAATTATTGTCATGTTAATAAATAATAAATCCTGCTAGTGTATATGATACGCTCAAATATCGAAAACGCTCAGTGAGCGGAAAAATAGCTCACAACGCGTTGTGGTCACAGTAAAACATCCACATGGCGAAATTCGTGTTATGGCTCTAATGAAAACGCGCACGACGCGTTGTGGCAATCACAGAAACACCAAATAGCGAAATTCGTGTCGTTTCAGACTTGCTATTCGATCTCAACGCGTTGTGGCAATGAATAAAAGCCATGACGCGTTCTGAGCATTCATTGTTTTAACCATATTACGACGGACAGGTTGTAAGTTGATAGAGGGCGTGCAGCACCCAGGAATGTTATGTGTGTTGTTATGAGCATTAATCCATCAGGTCTCTACCAGTTACGAAACAAGGAAGGTACTGTTACGTGTCGTGGTGGGGTTCGAAATTATATGCCAGTTCACGCTTGACAGTTCTTTATTCACCACTCAGTTCACACAATTAACACACAATGTTAATTACAAAACACTCACTAAACACTGTATTTCACTATACAAGTCACTAAACTATCGCACTGGAATACTTTTGTTGTACTTTGATCGCCTTTGGATTCGCTCCGAAATCGCTGTTGAAACTCAACTGACTCTGCGCAGCGCCAATCGCGCTTATATACGCCGATCTACGCATTCTAGAAAGTACCTGTTAAATTGAGAATTACCTAGCACCCGCGAGTACGAAATACCTACTCATACCTACGCAGGTAACACGCATAACTTGTAAACAAGTGCAGATGTCGTTGCACTTTCTCCCTTACGCCGCACTGCATAAGGCTCATTTTAGAATGAGCCGCATTACTCGACCTCTATCGCGACCCCCGGTGATCTGGCAAATTCGATCTCTGGCATTTTCGCGGTTCCGTTTCGAGAGCGTTTGTGACAGTACATTCGATAGATTTTATGCACGTAATGAGTTTACACTTTCTGAAACCAACTTTATTAACATTTGTGATGTGCCCTCAACTTCTCTCAGCATCTATGTTATCATCTGCAAGTAAGCAAGGGTTTATAATGTGCCACTGCAAAAGATACTGTATTGATAAAAAGTGCAAGTGCGCTCCAAGAATATAAAATGCAACAACAAAGTGCCACAGTAATAGTTCCTGTAAAAATAAATAGCAATCAAATACTTATTTTTCACAATTATAGTAATTTCTAATATAAGTAATTGATTTGAGTAGGTACATTGTTGTTTATTGGTGATCAATAAACATTTATGTTTGTGATAAATATTTTTATTACTAGAAAAGAATTTTAAATTGACATAAAAAATCCCTAATTATTTTAAGTGAATTATAAGTAATTTACAATAATATTTTGTGTTCAGTATGATTTTATTTATTTTTTAAGCATTTAACTGCTAGATGTTTATCTAAAGAAAAGTTTACTAGAAAAAAAGTAGTTTTTTTTTCTAGTAAACTTTTCTTTAGATTTGTGTTCAGTAATTTATTACTTGTTAAGTTGATTTTTTTAAAAATAAAGTAATATATAAAAATAACAAATTTATTTTAATTTATATAATTATATAACATATTTAATAATGACAAACACGAAATGCGGTGATTTTATAAAATAAAAAATATTTCCTAAAGACATCTACCAAAACGTTTCCAGCCTAGGCCTATCGGAAAGTAGTGTGCGTCGTAATCAAATAATATTCCATAAGCGTCATGGCTTTTCTTCATTGCCACAACGCGTTGAGATCGAATAGCATGGTCACGAATTTCGCTATTTGGTCTTTTTGTGATTGCCACAATGCCTCGTGCGCGTTTTCTTTAGAGCCATAACACGAATTTCGCCATGTGGATGTTTTACTGTGACCACAACGCGTTGTGAGCTATTTTTCCGCTCACTGAGCGTTTTCGATCTTTGAGCGTAACATATATAGCTAGCTATTGACTTGTTCTATGTGTGAGGATCTTACCACACTATCGTAAAACATTTCCATTCATCATGGACCGTATCGTAACGGGAGCCAAATATAAAATTAATTTTAAAATGTAGAGCAACTTGCACCAACATTCTTAATTTATTGTTAAGGCCATCATTCCATGTTTGTCAATTGTTTAAAGTCAAACAAGTGGATTTAGAATGAGGCTTAAACATAATAGGGATGATGAATAACATTATTTTCTTCATTAACCACTTTCAAAAAGAGAAGGTTCTCATTTGGTCATTATATTTTTTAAGTGAAAACTTTTTTATTATCGTTGTGACTTGAGATTCGATGAAACGGAAATAGAATATTTGACACAAGATAGGTATCCGTAATTTTAACATTTACTACAAGAGACAGATAGCCAAAAGGAAACGGTCTTTAGGTCGACACATTTTTTAATTGTTTTAACCTTTTTTTTCTTTTGTTAAGCTATTATTTATTTTTCGTAACAAATTCAGTATAGAATATTGAAATTTTTGCAATATTTAACAATACCTGAATATGAAAGGTAGATCGCAGTTTAGACATCTATCTATATTTAAAAAGTTGATGTTGCTCTTGCTTATAAAAAGTGGAAAATAAAAGCTTTTTTACAAAATGTAATGTATGTCTTTACATTTTGACGTGACAACGTCTTAAATTAGGTTGCGGCTGGGAGTCACTTATGAAAAAGTGTAACGCTCGGTAACGTTACGATGAGTTTAAGTTTACATGTACAATGTTTTAGTAAACAAAATATATTTCTATAGTTAAAATTTGTGCAATTCTTATTTTCATTCAATTCCTTGTTCCTATTGTGCAATTTAATTATATTCATATCAATAAATATTCTACCGAGAAAAAGACGTTGTCACGTAAAATCTTCGCCCGTAAAACCGACTTTACAGGCAACCATTTTTTTATTTACTATTTATATTTCAAGTCAAATTAACACTTGGAGTCGGTGCCATGCATTTTAATAGATCTGAGTTGCCATTTACTGCTTGGGTTGGCATTGTACCGACTCCAAATGTTAATTTGACTATAAATGTAGATATATTTAAAGAATATGCATTATTTCTTACTTTTCAGTGGTTTTGTTTTATGAAATCGGTTTTTATATTTTGGTAAAAAAGTTTTCTATTAGATAGATTATCAAAATAGTATTGGACACGTATTTTTATTTATTCACATATTTAAAATATTACAGAGATAAGTATATTGATTTGAAAAGCCGCATTACCTTTTTTTGGAATTTTGGTTAAATTTTTATTTAGAAGTGACGTCACGAACCCTCACTCCCAGACGTTGCCGCGCTTTATCTTTGTAATTTTTTATCGTTTCACAATTTTTATTTGTAAATATATTTTGTATTATAATTATAATCAAACTGTCGCACTAAATAAAATTTCGTTTCGTTTACCCCGTCATCTTCGCTCTTAGCTCTTGAATAAGATTAATAACTTTGGTGCAAGTGGGCTTTAACTAATATGACTGACATAATGACTGACATAATGTTATAAATAAATACACTTAACTTAATAGACAAACGTGACCGATGCAACCGAAAAGCTAGAGTAACCATCCAAACATATGACTGACGGAGCGTTATTTCACAGCGCTGTCTGGCAAGTACGAAGAGATGCAGTACAACGAGGTGGAATTCGACGAGACACCAGACGTGAGCGAACTCGAAGCGCTCAAGCGGAGTGATGGAACGAGCAGCGCCCCAACGAGCTTCCACTTCGCTGTGCTCCTGTCGCTCGTTGTGTTATAATGCTACTTTGTATATATGAAATATATTGTTACGATTATCTTTTCATTGCCGTTTTAATACACAATCTTAAATAGACAACTCCTTCTCAGTACAAGGTCTTCCGCCGTAGATTTGCAAACTGATGACGTAGATTGACATTCATAAGTGCTCGCAACAGTCTAAAATGAATAAATTACTTTGATTAGGTATTAATATAAAAAGACTTTCAAAATAGAATAGATGGAGAAGTTCGACGAGACACCAGACGTGAGGCTCTCAAGCGGAGCGATGAATTACTCGTAATTAAGCAGCGCTCCTACGAACTTCCTCTTCACTGTGTTCCTGTCGCTAGTTGTGTTATAATGCTACTTTGCCTGTAAGAAAATAATATTGTTACGATTACCTTTTCATTGCCGTTTCAATATTATTAAAGATTTAATTTAAGATATTTCCTTCTCAGTACGAGGTCTTCCGCCGTAGATTTACAAACTGATGGCATAGCTTGACATTCGTGAGTGCTTGCAATAGGTATTAATATACAGGACTTTCAGAATGGAATGGATGGTGGAGTTCGACGAGACAGCAGACGTGAGTGAGTCCGAAGCGCTGAAGTGGAACGCTGGGACCGCCACCGATCTTCCACTTCGCTGTGCTTCTGTCGCTCGTTGTGTTATAATGCTACTTTGTATATCTATACTTCTATACTAATATTTTAAGAAAAAAGATTTGATTGTTTGTTTGTTTGCATTGTTGAAACGCTCTGAAACTACTAGACCGATTTAAAAACTTCCTTCACATTTAGAATCCAACATTATCCCTGGTGAACATAGGTTATAGAATATTTTCAAAAAAGTTAGGGTTCCCAACGTTGCGGCAGTTATTGATAATAGAGCAAAGTGATACTAAAGCTTTATAGAGGGCATCAATATCTACAAAAATGTCCGCGATACCATAATATATGTGTAACTATTACAGTTATATCACAATAACTACTTCTTCGTGTTAAATATGCAATAGTAACGTCGGTACAAACTTGGCCACATTATTCATACCTGGACGAAGTGATAAGAAGTGATTTATTTGTATAAGGATTAATAAATCGTTATCCAAATAAATCACTTCTTATTCAAGACTAGATCAGGTTACCTATACATTACTTTTAAACAACACCAGTCCTAAGTTTCATACCATTCAAAAGTTATCATGATTATAAAATTATTATACCTACTACGCAACAAAATTATTACTATTAGTTAATTTTTTTTTCGCGTAAGGTTTATAATAATACCAGCAGCCGCTCGTGCCTTCGTCCGCGTTAACTTTAGTGTTTAGAGAATCTCACAGGAACCTAACCTTTTCCGGGATAAAAAGTATCCTGTCTCAATCCTGGCCATAAAGTGTATACCAAATTTCATCCAAATCTATTGAGTAGTTTTTGCGTGATATAGTAACAATCATACAAACTTTCACATTTATGAAGGTCAACTATACTCTACAGCTCTACACCGAAGCGAAGCGAGGGCGGGCTATTAGTATCAAATATATTGTTAAGATTATCTTTTTGTTGCTGTTTAATATTTAACGAGACTGAAGAAATACAGGAAGACAAAAAAACAGTCCTTGCTGAGGACTGGTGATTAAGGTGATTTTCTAGGCGATATTCATGATTTTTTTGTAACAACCTAAATTAAATAAAAGAATTCGAATAGTTATGATTAAAAAGAATTTGAAGATAAAGAAAACACGCGTCTTATGAAGTGTTTATTAATACATTCTGCGAGATATTGCACTACAGTATACTTAATATAACCTATCGTCTATGTAGGTGGATGATTTCTGCCACGAGTTGAGAAAATTATTCTCATATTTAAATTTTTCATATTTTGATTTTTATCATATTTTGCAATGATTTTTAATTTACACGGATAATTTATACTTAAGTTTGTAGAAAAACTGTTCAGGATAGATTTAAGACATAAATGAAGCCTGGGTAAACAGTAGAACTCGAATAATAAGAGGAAAATCGGGCGGAAACATTTATGATATTCCGGCCGTGAAAACAAAGTGGATGGCTACTCTGTGTAGATATAAACTTCTGGCACTTAACAACACACTAACAGGTGTTCTAACATTATAGAGGTAGTATTACAACTTGAAACAAAATAAAATACAACTATAACGCTAACGTTAGTTTGTTAACTCTCACAGAAAGTTACGTCTTGGCCGAAACTCTCTAATTAGTAACGTGGAAAGTTCGGCCTATTAGTTGACGATGTCGGCTCCTCGTTAAATATAAATTTATTTTTAACTGCACACAACAAAAACAGGGCTGACTACGTGTATATAATTATACATTAAGATTTGAAAAGCATAAAAATTATATAGCAACATATATTTCTTTTACAAATTTTGTTTATTGCCGAGTTTCTTAACTTAGTCGATCGCGTTTGCGTTTTAATATGAAATGTGGCTTTTATGTCGCTCCATATAAGAGAAGATGCATTTTTATGTAAAAGGGGTGGCAAACAAACGTGTGGCCCGCCTGACGGTAAGCGGCCAATAAAACATACCCTGACCCAATCCCATGGAACCTAACTCACCGATAGAAACAAAACACTAATAAAAGGTCGTGCTATTTTTTCCGTCTTCCTGTAAGATGGAGGTAACTTCCCCAGAGGGCGCTCCAATTCAAGCGGAAAAGGAGCTATGCCCAGCCTCTCTTGTATCATAAATAATGAGAAATATTGCTCTATGAAATGCTTAAAGAATAAGACAGTAAATTTTAAATTATCTAGAGGTAATTCGAACAAGTGGCTTCCATTGTGGCAATAAAATGCAATCTGCGTCTTCTTCAAAAGTTCTTTTTACCAAAAAATCATGACAATCGGTTCAGTAACTTTCTGATTTTTACTTTTAATACTAATGTATTTAATAATATCATATTTATTTATTTTTAATTAAGTGGCATGTCGTAAGTATGTATAGTCTATAATATGTCACATTTTCAGTTACAATTTCTGATGACCATCTTAATTTATATTTATATGAAAGCCTTCCAATTTAAAGCATTTATTAAATAAAACACTTTAACGTTACAACGGGTTTAAGGTGTGATTTTATAAATACTTTTAACGTATATTTCCATTCTTCCTTTTTCATTTTCAACTATTAAAATCATAGTCATAGTCTTCAGAACGGTCCCTGTAAAGGATCCGAAATGTAGAGATATGTATAAAAGTATTTAAACCGGCCAAGTGCGTGTCGTGCCACGCGGAGTGTAGGGTTCCGTAGTTACCACAATATATTTGAGGAGGAATCTTTATTTTCTATATCGGAAATTAGAAAAACCAATTAATATCAATCTACGTATCTCAATTAAAATACCTAATAAATAAAAGTCAAACTGAATCTCAACCTCAAAATCAATTGTTTTTTTTTTAATGCGAATGTTAAACGTAATTTTTTTTTTGTTTCTTCTAGGGGGGAGCGGCTGCAAGGTTATGTTAGACTCTTACTTACTAAAAGCTTCATCTGAAGCGATCATTCCCTGAGAAGGGGATAATGCGGTATAACTACCGATCTTTTCAAGTGCTTATATACTTTTTTATAAAAACGTAACGTTAGCGCGACTCAGAAGCCGTTACCATTGGTACTCGCGGTAGCGTTGTGAAACTAATGATATTTCAATGACGTTTTGAAAAAGCTTTTTTGACGTGACAACGTCTTAAATTAGGTTGCGGCTGGGAGTCACTTATGAAAAAGTGTAACGCTCGGTAACGTTACGATGAGTCTCTCGTGTTAAGTTTAAGTTTACATGTACAATGTTTTAGTAAACAAAATATATTTCTATAGTTAAAATTTGTGCAATTCTTATTTTCATTCAATTCCTTGTTCCTATTGTGCAATTTAATTATATTCATATCAATAAATATTCTACCGAGAAAAAGACGTTGTCACGTAAAATCTTCGCCCGTAAAACCGACTTTACAGGCAACCATTTTTTTTTATATTTATTTTCAATGCAAGGTTTTACGCTACAATAACTTCATCTATATCACTATTAATGCTTTCTTTTAAGGAATTTTCAATAGGTAAGAAATTTTTGTTAACCAAACTTGAACGACTTCTTCTACTTAAATTTGAATGAAGATATTTTGATTCTTTTACTAACAAATCTATCTTAACTGTTATAGTTTTCTTTTAAAGATCATGAAAAGCACTATCATGAATTTTTCCAGGTTTTTTAAGCCAATAGTTTAGCTTCAAAAGGGGGAGGCGCCCTACTCGAACTAAAATTATCACTTTAAAGTTCAATATTTTGCAAACGACAAAAATTTAAAGCGAAAAATAGTCTACGAACACCTATATAATTTTAAAGAACCTTTTCAACGATATTCCATACGATAGGGTAGATGATGAAAAATAAATATATTTAACATGTAGGGGAGCTACCCTAAAAAATATTTTTCTCATTTTTAATTCCTCTACCATTTTGTCAACGTGATCGATATACATATCTCCACATCTTTACAGCTCTCTAGTACTAATAGTCTTGGACGGACAGACGGGCATGACGAAACTATAAGGACTCCTTGTCAAAACTACGAAACCCTGAAAGACACATCTTAAACCCATTGAAACAGTGTTTAATTTAATGAGTGATGTGCGTGAAAACATAAGAAATATATTATATCATTTATTCCCCAAATTGTGATCAAGCATAAAAAACTATAATTTCATCGGCAAACAGTCAATCACAAGAACAATGTCTTCGTCAGATTTAAAAAAAGAAACTAGAAACGATAAATCGTAGGAGTCAGCTTTGTTTCAGCGGGGATGTCATCGTGATATATCATGCATGTCATGCCTTGGGAGTTCTATATTTCATGTTTGTTGGACTCGCGCAAGGACTAAGGCCACCTGTGCTCGGTCACGACACGGCGCCACTACAACCATTTTGCGACTAGAATGTAAATTTGTCTTGAAATGTCTGAAAGTAACGTGACTATATCTCTAACAGACACTTTATGAATCTCGGCACTGTGTTAGGAGC